TTTAACCTTTGTTGTCGTTTGTGTTTGATTTCGAAATGATACATTGTTATTGTTCTAAGACAGAGAATAATGAAACATCCATATGGTAATTATAATGCTCATTATATCATGATTTATTTTTTCTTACCAAAGAAAATCGGTACATTGTAAGGAATAAAATGGCACTCATATTTTGGTGATGTATGTTTGAAATGTGTATCTTATTCTTTGATCACATGAAATGACTGTAATTGTCTAAAGACTCGGAACAAAAAAAAATCTTATCAAGTGTATTACATCACATCTAACTTTACAGCGGTATTCGCTGCTTTTTTCACAAAAATATAAATCTTTGATTTTTTCTGTTTCAAATATTTTAATGACAGCGGTATTTAATGGCTTCAAACTCTTTTAGACGTTTAAGAAATACACATACATGTATATAACTATTTTGAAAATTATTGACTTCCAAGCAAAAATGTGTCCCTTCTGTGTTTTTTACACTATAAGCGGTTATTAAATGCAATTTTATTAGTCCCCTACCGATGAAACCGGAGGGAACTATAGGTTTCCTCGGAGTCTTTCTGTCTGTCTGTCTGTCTGTCCCTCTGTCTGTCTGTCAGTCTGTCCCACTTGGTTTTCCGCACTTTTTTCCTAAACGCTTGCAGAAATTGAGCTGATTTTTGCTATGTGAGTGTATCTTGATGAGTTACAGATCAAGTTTGCATTTCGTTCCGCTTCATTGAATTTTGACGGAATTACGGCCTTTTCAATTTTTAGGGATTTTCCGCGATTCTCTTCTAAACGCTTTCAGATATTGAGCTGATGTTTGGTAAGTCACTTTACCTTGATTAGTTATAGGTCAAGTTTGCATTTCGTCCCGCTTCATTGATTTTTGACGGATTTATGGCATTTTCAATTCTTAACGGGAACCAGATTACACTTGCCGGTAGGGGACTAGTATTGCTAATGCAATACTCTCATAATGCTTGTTATATTTGTTTGTGTACAAAATAAACGGTTACATTGGTAACTAAGAAGCATACCTTTGCGTAAGACAGGTAATGAGAGAGAATTGGTTCGAAAATTTTGTAGCTTATGTCCCTTTAATTATCTTTCTTAAGCGCAAACTTGTCAAATTTAATCAAAAGAGAATAAGTAACCTTTCGTAATTTCTATTTAGCAAAACATGTAAATATAGAATAAGATAGAATAGCTCTTTTTTTTATTTCACCACCGGTTTCTGCCATTTTATTATTCACAAACATCAATTTTGTTACTAATCAATATTTATATCTAACATGCAGAATTTTCTTCAACTTCAAGACCAACAAATACATCAATGGAGGTAAAGACCTCATCCTTGGGAGGTAAGCAAGAATGTTCAATATATTTATCATTGTCTCAGTTCATATGATACAATGGTATATTGTGAGTAAATTGTCTTGGATAGGAAAGTATTAGTAATATTTCTTCTCAAATTCAGAATTTATTGTTATCAATTTAACAAAACAGGGATCGAATATTGCTCCCTCATAATAATTTAGGTCACGACTTTGAAGGTGAAAGTATTTTACAATCTGTAAATTATAACGAAGATACTCTCATCCTGCTGTCTGGTAGTACACTTGTAATTTTCTTCTTCCAAACCTGAATTTATTTATAGTTTGTACATTGTCTGTTGTGAGTGTAGGAGTAATGCTTACAGGGGAAAATCACATAGGAAAGATTACTTCAATGACTTTTTTAAGGAATTTAAGGATTTCTAACCATTTTTACAAGGCGTATAATATAAGTCAGATCAAGATTTACTTAAAGTGATTTCAACCAATGCATGATCTAACGCTGTCATGTATCTGAAAAAAAATAAAAATAAAAAAGGATTGAAAAAACATACATAAGTGAGCTAAGACGAAATATAGACGCTTCCCTGCAAATAAACTAATTAAAACGCGTAAGGGCTATACCCAACATACAGAAAAGTTTAAAACTTAATTTATACAAACTTGGTATCCACGACAAGTGATAGCCAGTTCACATAATGACGTCATATTATGACGTCATTCTTCTCTTCTACAAAAAGTTTTAAAGAACATCAACAAAATAGCTTCGGCTCAAGGGCATACCCCTTTTAATTTCAAGGAAGAAGGTATAATTAGAAACAAAATATTACAAGGATTGATGATATTGCTGCACAAATTTCGACAGCTTAATTGTTAAGTTACTATTTGTAAAGTATTGAGTTTATACAGGGTAAAAAAAATCACAGTCCTGTTTAAGTTTTCTCAAATTCTTGTCAAATTAGAAAGTGCAGAGAATTTGTGAAGCACTTTTATTAATCTTTAGAATATTCTCCCTAGAATTATACATTATTTATATAAAATTCAATAGGATATGCCCTTGCGTCGAAGCTGTTTTGTTGATGTATTTTATAACCTCGAGTAGTAAAAGATTATGACGTCATAATGTGCACTAACTATAAATGTCTCGGGAACTAAGTATTTTAAAGAAAATGAATTTAAACTTTCTGCATAATACATATACCTCTTGTGCATTTTTATTAGCTCATTTGCATAGAAATGCCTATACTTTTTTTACTTTGAGTATTTGTACATGGACAGAATTTTGACGGTCCATATTGTCATTTTGAACATACTGTCGTCGGCGACAATATTTTCCTACCCTCACATATTTTCGTCCATCGGTACATATTGTCGCCGGCGACAATATGTACCGAGACGAGCCTTATTTTCTTCCTGCATAATGGACGACAAAATGTACAGCCCTAACAAAAAAATACTATAGTTAATTATAGTTAACTTTAGTGATAACTTTGACACTATAAAAACTATAGTTAACTATAGTGATAACTTTGTCACTTTGATTTACTATAGTGATAACTTTGAAAAGTTTGATTTACTATGGTGATTACTATGAAAACTTTGATTTACTATGTTGAAGACTTTGATTTACTGTAGTGATAACTATGACACTATAGTGATCACTTTGAAAACTTTGATTTACTTTAGTGATAACTTTGACACTTTTATATACTATAGTTAACTATAGTAAACTATAGTTAACTATAGTATTTTTTTTGTTAGGGAGGCAAGCACCAGCACATATTGTCGTCAACGACAATATGTACAGTCATCGTCAGCATATATTGTCATCAATATATTGTTTTGACGAATATTTACTCGAGAAAGTAAAGAGAGATTGACAAACACACACACACGGAGGCAGAGAGACAGCATTACTCACAATTCTGTAGGGAGAAAACATTTTGGTGATGTCAGTAAAATTGGGTCCAGGACAGGATTAATGTACATCACTGTATAAGAACTACTGGGTTAATTTCAAGCAAACTTGTCAAAAAGCATCCGTGGATAAAATGGAATTCAAGTTTATTCAAATAAAGGGCCATGCCCTCTTTCAAGGGAAGTAGTTAAGAATTAGTGAAAATTGACAACTTTATAAAAATCTTTTCAAGAACCACTGTGTCACATAAGTTGAAACTTATTTGAAAGCTTCATTATGAAGTGTAGATTCAGTTTTATTCAGATCATGTCCTACAGGGGAAGGGTGTGGCTACAATAAGTGATGAAAGTTTTTCTTAGAAAAAAATCTTTCATTTTTTTTTCAAGAAGTACTGGGTCAGATGAGATGTTACTTATGTGAAAGCTTCTTTACATAGCGAAAGTTCAATTTTGAGGTGCTGGCACGAAAAAGATCCCTCACTGTTCAGTGTCCCTGAGTGCCAAATATAGGTCTAAATTTGCAGCCCTCCACCGGCAAGTGGTGATGTCTACATACGAATGAAAAATTCTCAATTGAACATCATAACAAATAAACAAACAAAAACAAAATCAATTTTGTTCAAATCATGACCCCAGGGGGAGGGTGGGGCCATAATTGGTGATTAAAATGTTACATAGGAATATATACAGAAAATCTTTAAAAATAATAAAAACCAGATATAGCACCGGCGTGTTTAACTTGTATAAACTCTCAATTTAGTCCACAGGTAAATTTTCATAATTAAATAATTTACTTAACATATACAGTACATGTAACACACCTTTACATACAAATGTTAAAAGTCGCCCGCATGGTGCAGTGGTTAGAACGTTCGCTCTAGAGTCGCGGAGTAAGGAGTTGATCTTTATGTCTCTGGTTAGAAATCCCTCTGTGAGACGTGAAGATCGGTTCTTCGAATGAAAACTGAGGTCCCGTGTCGCAGTAGGTGCTGGCACGAAAAAGATCCCTCACTGCTCAATGGCCCTGAGTGCCGAGTATAGGTCAAAATTTGCAGCTCTCCACCGGCAAGTGGTGTCCATATAAGTGAAAAATTTTCGAGAGGGACGTTAATTAATAAACAAACAATGAAAACTTTGTAAAATGTTTTGCTTGTCAAAAAAATCTGAACCGCCCCCCTCTTCCGTTCTGAAATTTCTGGAACCACCTCTGAGAACAGCAGTAGACCCGTGATTAGTGATGTTTATATGGAAGCATCCTCAGATAGCGCAGATTCAAGTATTTTCAAATCAAACCGGGCCTTAGGTCGAGCAACAATGGGCGATCAAAGTTTTACATAGGAATATATGGCGAAATTTTTGAAAAATGATCCCCACAAAACAGCCAATCAATGACTAGTCATACTTATATGGATTGATTAATTGTTTTTGTTTAACGCCGAGTCGGCAATATTTCAGCCATATTTCGGCGATCAAATTAAATGTATATAACATTTTTGAAGTTTTTGGTTTCTCTGGCTATATTTATATGGAGCATTGCCGTGCATTGTCATTTGACATATTCTGATGGAGGACAATATGAGGGTAGGTGCACAATGTCGCCGGCGACAATATGTACTGGGCGAAGGAATGTACCGTCACTATTACGCTGCATGGAATAGCATACGAGACACGTCAGTGTGATTCACACACCAGTTACATTCAAAAAACTACCAAAAAACAGCAAAAGAAATGTTTAAGCAACAATATTTGTGGGGCGTCAATATGTACAGTGAGGGTAAGGCACATAATGTCGCCAGTAACTTTTCAGTCGGCGACAATATATACCGATGGACAACAATATGTGCAGTGAGGGTAGCTACATATTGTCGCCGACAACAATATGTAAAAACGACAATATGTACCGTCACAATAATAAAGAAACATTAACCTAAAATAAAAAAGATTAATACTGATTAATGCATGCACATGTACACTTAATCATATTCTCTTAGAATTCTTCTAAAAATACTTACTTTTTAGGAACACTTATTTTTTAAAACTAATGATGTAGGAATCATTTAGAAATCATTCAATTCCAGTGTAATCTCATGTTCTTCTATGCAGGCACATCCACGACTTCAGAATCCGAAGAAACGACAATCAAACAGACAACCACAAGTGTTGGAGGTAATGACAGGCTATAATATATCAGTAAAAAAGTAAATATTGAAAATTACATTATTTTCTACAGGTTTCTAGAGAAAAATAACTACAGATTTTCTACGCAACTCTTTTAAGGCTGCATGAAGGGGTAGGGGCCTAATTCATACGGAAAATGCTTGCACAAAAATAGCAATTCCTCACAATAATAGAAAATGAAAAAAAAATGCGATTTTAAGCTGCATATGATTGATGAACTAAATCAAATCTTACCACTGCATTCATTTTTATCGCTAGTTAAATCCCACACAGCAAGATATAAACAAGTCACTGATCGCAATGCACTTGTCGTCATCATGGTTAAATCTGACGCATTTTATGTGCAGTGAGAGGCGGATCAAGTAATTTTTTCACAGTGAAATATGCGTTTTATTATTAAAAAGAAAATTATTTATGTTAGGTAGACCATTGATACAAATCTGAAACCTTTATTTAGTGCCGTCATTTAAAAACTATCGAGAGAATGTATTGAATTAATTCTACCGTGTTTATGTGTACATGTACAGTGTTTGTATGTTTCACGCCGAGGTGCTTCATTAAATCACCTTTTCACAAGGGCATACACTTCATATGATCATGACAATATTTTAAGAATAAGTAACGGAAACATTCCTTAACTTGAAAAGTAATGCTCCTTTCCTGACATCGAGAGCAATACTAAATAAATACATAAGATACTTGGTAAAGGTCACACATATTTTGACTAGAACTTAGTAACTTGAAATTTAAACTAATAAAATGCTACTTCTATTTAAAGCAGCAACACTTTCCATTAACTACAAGATATGTAGAAACAATTTATAACTACAATTTTTAATTTGAACTAGGGTACATGTGTGCCCTTGCGATATTGAAATTTGTTCATGACCTACGTACAGTACACATTACATTCATTTATCACGTGACTTTCAAATAATGTGACCAAACCAAATTAAATACAGAGCGGGGTATACAATGTTATTTCAATTAATATTAAATAATGTGATAATATAATACCTTTAGAAAAATATATTCAGTTTAAAAAGTTATGTATATTCCGTTGATTTCTACTTAGGACACCTTAAAAGTGCTGAGTAATAAAGTAATAAATCTCATTTGGACAATTATTTAGGTACAGGGATCGGTTAAACGGTACATTGTAAGAAATAAAAGGGGACTCACATTTTGGTGATATTTATTTAAAACTTATTTTAAACTTATTTAACTTATTTAACTTATTTAAAATTCAACTTGAAATGACTAATGGAAATATGAAAAATGAAAATGAAATGTCTAAAAACTAGGAACAAAAAAAAATCTTATCAATTGTACTTCATAAAATCTTATTTTACAGCGGTATTTGCCGTCTTTTTTCACAAAAATATAAATCTTTGAATCCCTTTGTTCATATATATATTTTTGAATGACAATAGTATAAAATGGCTTAAAGCACTCTTTAGCCTTAAAGAATACACATACATGGTCATAACTAATTTCATTTTGAATACTTATTGGCTTGCAAGCAAACCTTTGACCCTTTTACGTTTCTAATTACACAGTAAGCTGTTATTTAACGCAGTATTATAATATTTGTTTGCGTTCAAACTAAATGCTTTCATTGGTCATTTATATGCATACATTTGCTTCAGACATGTTATGAGAGAGACTTGGTTCCATAATTTTTTAGCCTTCATGCATACTTGAATTAATTATCTTTCAATATCTTTTAAATGCAAACTTGTCAAATCTGAGAATGAATTATTTTTGGTTAGTTATTTAGCGATACAATTCATAACATGGAAACAGAAAATAAGAAAGAATTGTTCTTTTTTTATTTCAGCAGATTTTTTGCCATTTTTGTAAGTTCAAAACATCAGTGTTGTTTGTAATGAAATTTATTTTCAACATGCAGTCTTATCTTCAACTTCAAGACAAACAAGTGCATCGAAGGACTCAAAGACCTCATCCTCGGGAGGTAAACAAGAATTACATATATTTATCATTGTCTCACATCACAGTTCATATGACAAAATAGAATATTTTCAGTAAATTGTCTATGATATAAAACTGTTAACAGTTTTTCTTCTCAAATTCATAATTTATTGTTATAAACATAACGAAACAGGGATCAAATTTTGCTCTTTCACAATAATTTAGGTCACAACGTGGAAGGTGAAAGTATTTTACAATCTGTAAATTATATAAAAGATGCTCTTATCCTGCTGTCTGGAAGTACACTTGTTATTTTCTTCTTCCAAACTCGAAAATTATTTGTAGTCTGTGCATTGTCTGCTGTAGGTGTAATTTTACTGGGGAATATCACGTTGTAAATATTATATCAATGACTTGCGAATTCAAGGATATCTAATCATTTTCACAAGGCATATTAATAGAGATACATGTATTCAATGTTTTTAGCTCGACTTGGTTTATTATTTCACTCGTGGGACGGGATTTTTTGCTATTTTTACATGTGATGAAAATATAAAAAAAAATCTTTTCACACGAGTGAAATAGTTTCCATATCCAACCACAAAATGTTAAATTTTCTTTTTTGTTTTACATCTTATTAATTTTACATTTGCCTCTGTCTTTTTGCGACACATTTGCATAGGCTGTGACGTAATAGGTTAGCGATTGCAACTTTTTTTTAAAATTGAATACAATGTAAACATGGATTGGTACAAATCATCTTTGGATAAATGAAATGCTGAATTGTTTAAAGCAAGGACAAATTCCCCTTCCAAAGGGAGATAATAATGAAAAGGGGAAAATAGGGTGGGATCATAAAAAAAGTCTTCTCAAGAACCACTATGCCAGAAAAATTGTAACTGATGTTGAAGCTTCCAAAGGAAGTGAGAATCTAATTTTTTCAAATCATCACCCCTAGGTTAAGATAGGGCCACAAAAGGGGATGAAAGTTTTTCATTGCAATATCAGAATAAACTATTATAATCTTCTTCTCAAGAACCACTAAGCAAGAAAAGATGAAACTTTCATGGAAGCTTTCTGAGCAAGTATAGACTCTAAATTGTTTAAATCTTAACCACTGGAGTTAAGGTAAGGTGACAATAGGGGATGAAAAATTTACATAAAAATATGTAAGAAAAAATCTTTGAAAGTCTTTTTCTCAAGTTCCACTGTGCCAGAAACGGTAAAATTAATGTGGAATGTTCTAAGGAAGTGTAGATTCTAAATTGATCAAATTATAACAACACCCGGGATTAAGCTAGAGCAACAACAGGGGATGAATGTTATACGTTGAAATAAATGAGAAAAATCGTTTAAGTCTTCTTCTCATTAACCTCTGAGACTCTAAATTGTTTAAATCTTGACCCCAGGGTATAGGTTAAGTATCGAGTGGGGATGAAAGTTTTACATAGAAATATGAAAGAAAAATCTTTGAAAGTCTTCCTCTCAAGTTCAACTGTGCTAGAAACAGTGAAATTTATATGGAAAGTTTCTAAGGAAGTGTAGATTCTAAATTGTTCAATTGATAACCCCAAGGGTTAAGCTGGAGCCACAATATGGGATGAAAGTTATACATTGAAATAAATAAAAAAAATCTTTTATAATATTATTCATATAATGACCCCCGATGTAAGTATGGAGCCACAAAAACGGATGAAAGTTTAAGATTGAAATATAGAAGAAAAATCTCAAGAATCTTTCTCTCAAGGACCACTGTGCCAGAAAAGGTTAAACTTTTTTGGAAGTTTCCCGAGGAAGTGTAGTCTCTAAATCTTTCAAATCGTGACCTTGGGTTAAGGTAAAAATAAATCTTTTATAAATCAATAAATTGATAAATAAATTTTAAATAATCTTCTCAAAATCCACTGTGCCAGAAAAGGTAAAACTTATGTGGAAGCTTCCTGAGGAAGAATAGATTCTAAATTATTCAAATTATGACCCCAAAGGTAAGGATGGAGACGCAAAAGGGGGTGCAGTAGCTCAAATCTTGACCCCTGTGGTTATGACAAGGCGACAGTTTGGGATGAAAGTTTTACATTGAAATATAGAAGAAAAAATATTTAAAATCTTCTTTTAATGAACCAATGGGCCAGAAAAGATGAAAAGTATGTAGAAGCTTCTTGAGGAAGGTTAGACTTTAAATCATCCAAATCTTGACTCCTGGGGTTATGGTAAGACTACAATAGAGGATGAAATATTTACATTGATATATATATAAAAAATCTTCTTCTCAAGAACCACTGGACCAAACAATATCAATTTACGTGATTTTTTTTGATTATTCACTTCATTGCATCCGAGTTAGAGTGGGGCCACCCTAGAGGATCAAAATTGCAATGGAACTAAATTTAAAAAAAAATAAAAAAATAAATCTAAAGAAACATAAAAGACATTAATTAGCAAACAATACCATGTTGAGGTATCCTCATTTTAGGTGGAATCAAAGACCTATTATAGTTAGGATCCGTAATATATAATCACAATTTTTCAAGGGAATATAAAAATCTTTTTAAAGTCTGATATAGCAGCAGGGCCAAAGTAACTCAAGTGAGGGCTGTGGCCTATGGGCCTCTTGTATTTTCCGATATTTTCATGATGGTGTTTTTACACTCTCTATACTATAAAAAGCCAGGGAGATTTTTTTTTTACACCATTCTACTTGAAGGAAAGGAAAATCGAGAGTTTTCTGATATATTTTGTAACACTGTGACAGAATATCACTTTTATTCAATAAATAAATTACAGCATTTCTTTTAATGAACTCTTTTAATAATCTCTTACATGCCTCCTACAAATATGCATTACCAAATGAAATCAAAACAAAACTTACTTTTATAGCAAAACAATGTATGAAGCATTTTAGAAATCATTGAATTCCAATGCCATTTCATATTCTTCTATGCAGGCACACCCACGACTCCAGAATCAGAAGAAACGACAATCGAACAGACAACCACAAGTGTTGAAGGTGACGACAGGCTTTAATTTATCAGTAAAAAAGTAAATATTGAAAAGTACATTGTTTTCTGCAAGTTCCTAGAAGAAAAAACTACAGATTTTGTAATTAAACTAATTCTGACGATTTTTTTAGGTACAGGATTAGTACAGAACAACCTGTCTGTATTTCAGGCATTACAGAAATCATAAAAATAATTTTAAATTACCGAATTATTTGGCACTTCGCTTACCTCAAGTATAAGCAAAGATTATTTGTAATGAGCACATTGTCAAGAAAAGGTCACGTGATAAAAATTCTTTCAATTACTTGAATGGAGTGATACTACTCTCATTTTTTCTCCAAGAATGCTAAAGCCAAATAAGACAATTTCAGATCAATAACTCTAGTATATTTAAAATGCCTTTAATCTTTGTTGTTGTATGTGTTTGATTTTGAAATGATATATTGTTATTGTTCTAAGACTAAGAACAATGAAACATCCATGTGGTATTGCTCACTATATCATAATACATATGTATCTTATTTTTATTCCCAAAGAAAATCGGTAGATTGTAAGAAATAAAAAGGCACTCACATTTTGGTGTTGTATGTTTAAAGTGTGCATCTTATTCTTCGATCACTTGAAATGACTGTAATTATCTAAAGACTCGGAACAAAAAAAATCTTTTCAAATGTCTTTGTGTCTTTTTTCACAAAAAATATATATCTTTGAATTCTTTTTTTTTTACATATATTTTTAATGACATCAGTATTTAATGGCTTCAAACAACACTCTTTACCCTTAAAGAATACACATACATGAATACTACTATTTTCATTGTGAATAATTATTGGCTTGCAGGCAAAAAAATGTCCCCTTTGCGTTTCTTTACCTAATAAGCGATTATTTCACGCAGTATTATTATTTTTGTTTGTGTACAAAATAAATGGTTTTATTGGTCATTAATATGCATAGCTTTGCGACAGACAGGTTATGAAAGAAAATTGGTTTCATAATTCAGTAGCTTACCTTTTAAACACAAACTTTTAAAATCTAATCAAAAGAGATTATATTATTTCTCGTAAATAATTTAGTTATGCAATTCATAACATGGAAATAGAAAAAAAAAAAACAGTTCTCTCTTATTTCACCTAAGTTTTAAGTCAATTTTTTTTTATTCACAACCATCAATGAAATATACTAAAACAGGGATCGAATATTGTTCCTTCAGAATAATTTAAGTTACGATGTTGAAAGTGAAAGTATTTTACAATGTTTAAATTATACTGAAGATACTTTCACCCAGCTGTCTGGAAGTACACTTGTTATTTTCTTCTTCCAAACTCGAAAATTATTTGTAGTCTGTGCATTGTGTATGTAGGTGTAATGCTTACTTTGGAATATCACGTTGTAAATATTATATCAATGATTTAAGATGTTAAGGATTTCTAATGACTTTCAAAGGGCATATTTATAGAGTATATTCAACGTTTTTTAGTTCGACAATATTTTGTAGTTGGATATAGATTCATTTCACTCGCGGGACAGGATTTTTTTTTTTTATATTTTCACGAGTGCTTAGCACATGTGGAAATTTCAAAAACTCCTGTCACTCGAGTGAAATAATTTCTATATCCAACTACAAAATATTGAATTTTTTGTTTTCTGCATTTTTTTTTTCAATTTTCCATTTGCCTCTGTCTATTTGAAACACATTGACATAGGCTGTGACGTAATTGTTTAGCGGTTGTGACGATATAGTCATAGCATAGTGATTGTGAGATTGAATACATTATAAGCATGGATTTCAACAAAATAGTTGGAGAAACTTTATAAGTTTTAGCTCAACCGAGATGAAAGCTGAAGTGCGTTTTTCTGATAATCTGTTCTCCGGCGTCCGTCCGTCTGACTGTCTCTCTGTCCGTCCGTCTGTAAACTTTTTATATTTTCAATTTCTTTTCAAGAACTGGGTCAATTTAAACCAAAGTTGGCACAAAGCATCTTCAAGAAAATGGCAGTCTTAATTCTTCGAAGAAAGGATCAAGTCTCCTTCCAAGGGGAGAAAATAATGAAAAGGGTTAAATATTGTTGGTCGTAAGTACCACTGGGCCATAAAAAAGTAACTGATGTGGAAACTTCCTAAGGAAGTAAAGAATCGAAATTATTCGAATCACCACCCTTGGGGTAAGGACGTCGGCCACAAAAGAGGATGAAAGTTTTTCATTGAAATATAGAAGAATTTTTTCATTATCTTTTTTCAAGAACCACTTGGCCAGAAAAGATGAAACTTTCAAGGAACCTTCCTGAGCAATTTTCCGCAGATATATGGCTGAAATATTGCCGACTTGGCGTTAAACAATATCAATCAATCAGTCCTGAGCAAATGTAGACTCTAAATTGTTTAAATCTTGACCCCGGGGTTAAGGTTAGGTGACAATAGGGGATGAAAGTTTTAAATAGAAGTAGGAAAGAGAAATCTTTGAAAGTCTTTCTCTCAAGTTCAATTGTGCTAGAAACGGTAAAATTTATATGGAAATTTTCTAGGGAAGTGTAGATTCTAAATTGTTCAGTTGATAACCCCAGGGGTTAGGCTGCAGCCACAATATGGGATGACAGTTATACATTGAAATAAAATAAGAAAAATCTTTTGAGTCTTCTTCTCAATAACCACTGGGTAAGAAACTGTGAAACATGTGGAATGTTTCTGAGAAAGTGAATATATTATACTATTCAAATCTTGACACCCGAAGTAAGGGTGGAGCCACAAAAACGGATGGAAGTTTTACATTGACATATAGAAGAAAAATCTATAGAAATTTTCTCATAAACCACTTGGCCAGAAAAAATGAAATTTTCATGAAAACTTCCTGAGGAAGTGTAGTCTCTAAATCGTTCAGATCTTCACCTCTGTGGTTAAGGTAAGGCGACAGTTTGAGTTTTACATTGAAATATAGAAGAAATATCTTTAAAAATCTTCTCAAGAATCACTGAGCCAGAGAAAGTGAAACATATGTGGAAGCTTCCTGAGGAAATATAATTTCTAAATCATTCAAATATTGACCCCTGGTTTTAAGTAAGGCGACATTTGGGGATGAAAGTTTTACATTGAAATAAATAAGAAAAATCTTTTAAAATCTTCTTCTCAAGAACCACTGGACCAGAAAAGATGAAACTTATGTGGAAGCTTCCTGATAAAGTGTAGACTCTTAATCATTCAAATCTTGACCCCTGGAGTTATGGTAAGGCGAGAATAGAGGTTGAAAGTTTTACATTGAAATATACTAATATATGAAAAATCGTCAAGTCTTCTTCTGAAGAACAACTGGACCAAAAAAAAAAAAAGATAAAATATATGTAAAGATTTCCTGAGATAGTGAAAACTTTAACTTATTCACTTCATTGCGTCTAAATTAAAGTGGGGCAACCCTAGAGGATCAAAATTTCAATGGAACTTAATGAAAAAAATCAAAAATTCAAAAAATCTAAAGAAATACAAAAGACACTAATTAGCAAACATTCCCCTGAGTTAGAGTTGGCTAAAATCAGGATCAAATGTTATATAATGCATGTATACAGAAGAATTTTCTTCTCCACACCTGCAAGGCCATGTTATATAATTATTCATATTGATATTGAAGCATCCTCATTGTATGTGGATTCAGAGACCCCACAGAGTTAGGATATAGCAGTTATATATAGTCACAATTTTTCAAGGGAATATAGAAATATGAAAAATATAAGAAAAAAAATCTTTTTAAAATCTGATAAGCAGGGCCAAAGTTACTCAGGTGAGTGTTGTGGCCCAGTCCTCTTGTATTTTCTGTCAGGATCGTATATTTACATTCTCTGTACTATAAAAAGCCAGGAAGAATATTTTCACAACATTCTTCTTTAAGGAATGGAAAATTAAGAGTTTTGTCGCATTTCTGATATTCTGTCACATTGTTACAGAATATCACTTTGATATCCTTTCAACTGTGACAGAATATAACTTTTATTCAATAAATAAATCACAGTATTTCGCTGTTGAAAATGTAGTAATATAGATCAGCTCACGATACCTTATAGTTATTTTGTTCTATGCATGATCATTCCATGACATGTATTTGAAAATAAGGTGTAAAAACTGAGAAAAAAAATTTTTTACCCTAGTTTTAGCTTCTGTAATCATTTCACGGAATTGTTATTATATTAAAACGGAAATAAACGAAAACAAATTTTATCAATTACAAAGCATAATATTTTATAGTTCCTTATTCTGTTCGAAAGCATGTTGTGAAATGAAATGGAAAGAGAATTGATGTAGAACTATAAAAAAATACAATTCATGACATTGAGATAGGAAATACCTATATCAAGGAATCTAAGAACTTTTCTGCATGATTTTATATCCTTCTTCTAAAGAATTTACATCTTAATAATTCTCAAACTCATTTATTATGCAGGCTTACATATACCTTCCACTTCAGTACAAACATCGATGACAAAAGCATTTAAAACCACAAATATAGAAGGTAATCAAGTTTATATTTTTGCTTTTTTTTTCTTTACGAAAATCATTCTGGCACTATAGTTTAGGAGGGATCATATATTGCTACTTGAAAACATTTCAGTTTAGGAAATTAAAAGAGAAAGAACTGTGCAAGACATCCAGGACCATTGACAGTCATCTTTAAACTAGTATTATGAGTTTACAAGATTATTTTTTTTTTATACAAAGCATCCAATCAGTCAAGAAACTAATGATACCATAAATCTCTATCATGCGATAATTCCAATTGTTATAATGCTTTTGATGATGTCATGATCGTTATAATTATTATTTGTTATTAATCAATCTGAGTATTATTTTACAAAGACAGAATAAAGAAATATTCAGCTGAAAAAAAGATTAATACCGATGAATACACGTACACTTAAACATAATATCCTACAATCCTCCTACAAATATGCATTACCAAATGAAATCAAAACAAAACTTACATTTTTAGCGAAACATTATTTAAAAAACTAATGATGTAGGAATCATTTAGAAATCATTCCATGTCAATGTAATCTCATATCCTTCTATGCAGGCACATCCACGACTTCAGAATCAGAGGAAACAACGATCGAACAGACAATCACAACTGTTGAAGGTAATGACAGGCTATAATATATCAATAAAAAAGTAAATATTGAAAATTACATTGTTTTCTGCAGGTTTCTAGAAAAACAACTATTGATTTTCTAATATATTTTATTTGGACAATTATTTGGGTACAGGGATCGTGTATGTACATGTATATAACAAACTATCTTATACTTCAGGCATTAAGAAAATCATAAAATACTTTAAAATTAGTGAATTATTTGGCAGTTCGCTTACCTAAACTATAAGGAAAGATTAATTGTAATGAGCAGATTTTTTTTATTTCTTTAAAAATGTGTTTACAAAAGGTAAATTGTACATACAGTTTACATAAAAGAACAGAGGAAATTCTGGTAGGTCACACAAGACTTCATCTGATATATATATTTGCTTAGTAGATAACAGACATACAATACTATTTTTTTTTTATCAACAATACATCAATACATGTTTACGATGTTTAGGTTACAGTGCCTTTGCAATTTTTGGGTCATGGTTATTTACAGTACAACACAGTGTTTAATCGGTATTAAAATTTTATTTGCATTTACCGGAAAGTGTGAAATGAATGGCTTGTCTATTTTCATTCGTGCGAATATTTCAACGGGGGTATAGAAGATTATTGATTGTGCAGGATATAATTTAGCAGTTCATTTTGAGATTTTTGAATTTATACATTTATTTTCTAAATCGACGACAATCTTACTATGGGTCTAATATTTTATAGTGGAGGTACTATAGCACTGTTTTTTTTTAATTGTGACACAACGTTAAACGGCTCATGCAGATCCCTAAAAAAAGATGTACTCCATCGTCACAGAAGAATATTGATTTAAGCTTCGTTTGGATATCGTATAATTATTCACATCTTTTAGGACCATGTTATATGCACAAACTTAAGAGTTTGAGCTTATGAGCAGGGTTGCTGTAACAAAATATTTATCATAGTAGCACAATTTTATATGTGGGAGAATACAAGTAGCAAAACCATCCTAAGAGATGGAAAGTCGGTCTCTATTAGTTTAAAGAATTTATGGTAGCTATCTTGAATTTTTCTCACTGAAGAATCCTCCATAGTGTAAGAAAATAGCATAAGGCATTGGGCCCGTCTTTTACCTGTAGAATGGTTCGAATCCTTTGCCTATCATAATTTAGGACCACTGTACTCCTGTCACCATATTGAAATATTTAACTTTTTAAATTGAGGTGAAGGACCCTAAGGTTTGACAAATTATCTTGATCGGTATCTTTGACAACTAACGACCTAGCAGCTACGATAGATAGCCACAATCCTACAATAAATAGAGAGGCAATGGGATAGCAATTTTGGATAGCACCTTTGTATAATGAAATCGAAACTAGGATTGTCAAAATCATGCATTTGGAAGATGATTCAGGGCTGACAAAAACATAATAGCTTTAGAATATTCAAGATGTTGTGGTGCATAAAAAGTAAAAATGAGAGGTTCTTACGCCTCAACACTCACCCCAGTCACCTTTATTTTGCTGTTTTTCAACAGATTTTTCAAAGATATTATCCGTCTAAATTTATGGCATCATCATATCCTCAGGTGGTACTTATTTATTAACCATACTCCATCGTCAAAGAAGAATATAGATTTAAGCTTTGTTTTTATATCGTATAATTGCTCACATCTTTTAGGACCTTGTTACATGCACAAACTTTAGAGTTTGGGCTTTTTTACTTAAAATAGTATTCCGTGTTGGCCCATTTTATCTCCAGGGTCCATGATTTGAGCAAACTTTAACCTACACCAGTTGGGGATGTTTTCATTTTAGCATGTACAGTTCAAATGGACTTTTGAGATGATCAGTTTTCGTTATTCACATTTAATTCCATACAAATTTCTTGTTCGTCAGAACGAAGAACAAACTTGTCAGACAAAATATCTTATTTCTCAGAACAAATACCTACTTTGTCCGAACAACTATAATTTTTTTTTAATCTGGGCTTTAACAACACTGAACTTTTGCATTTTATTCTGTATTGTAAAAGTATTCGCCATCATAAATAAATAATTTGTGGATCACTTTAATTCAATTGAAAATATACATTTAATTAATTATTTTAAAACGAATTCTCAAAGGAATTCATGTGCACATTAATTCTCAGAAAGAGAGCAACAGTTTAATTTAGAGATCGTCATTTAGATATATGCCGACAGCTTAGAAAGGCAAACATAGCAATCATTCAAAATCATTTCCTATGTTGAAGTTTAGCAAATATTATGAATGTCATAATATTTAAGAGGAAGACATACATACATACCTAACATATGTTAAATACTGTAGGCCTAGATGTCTCTTGAAGCTAAGGCTGGGGATCTATATACAAGGAGGTGGTCTCGCATAAGGAGATAAAAATTCCTTCCTTGATGATACAGTACTGTGGAATCATTTTAATTTGTGGGGCTCAATATTTGTGGGGAATCAACATTTCACTTGTTCATTGAGAAGTAATATCGTGGATAACTCGTATATACTGGAAATGAAATGAACGAGTATACAGTGAAATTATTTTTGCTTGTGGGGATGTTAATTCTTTGGTAAGCTGTCCCAAGAAATTCCATAAATATTGGTCTCAGCCCCAAGACCATAAACTGAGAACAGACTTAAGTCAAAATTTTGATTATTACTATCTTGAGTTTCATTTAATGTATTGGATTAAAAACTTACAATGTTGTGTAATATTTCAATTCAAATACATGTATATGATGAAAAAGTTGTTTCAATATCAAAATTATTCCAAAAGTTATAATAGTTTGAAATTTTGACTTAAGTATGTTCTCTGTTTATGGTCTTGGGGCCTGATGATGCCGCATACTCCTGTTAATATAACTATTCTAATAAACCATTTAATAAAATTAATTTTCTTTAAAAGTAAATTAAAGTATTTGATCCCCCCTTTCTTTTATTTTACATTAGGTAAAGAGACAACGTCACTACCAATAACTTATCCTGTGTTACCGGCAAGTATGTATTTCTATACAATATATTATATATATCATATCAATTTTTTATTTGTGTGTTTAAAATAAACTTTTCGTTACTAAGGGCCATTTATTTTAAATTTCAGCAAAAATGTGTAATGTTTTTTTTTATCCCTTGGCTCATTTTATCATTCCAAACTTTATTAGAAGAGTTCTAATTATTTGGAATACCGGTGTGACTACATACAGAGATCCAATTTTCTCTACTCATAAATCATTTTGTTATTGTTTCACAAAATTGTCCTTCATTTCAGAAACCAATCCTAATGTAACACTTAACTTTATCTTGGTAATCAATGGAAATTTAACATTGATTTTGTCCACACATAAAGATATGGAATATTTGAAGGATAATATTTCTCATCAAGTAAGTATGTTAGGTGGTATTCTCTCTCTCTCTCTGATGGAAAAGTTTCCTAATGATAGTAATTGTATTGAAATATTACACCCAAAGACTAAATCTAGCTTTTCCTTTATCTGTTATCCATCCATCGTCTGCAGTTTGTGGTAATTTTCTTTTCTATTTTTGACAGACAAATTCAAATAGTCATAGCAAAAGGTATTATTTAGAGATTAAGAATCAAAGGTCAATGTTTTCTCGGTAGTTTCTAGGATAAAAAAAAACTTTTTAAGAAACTTTCTTTGTACAACAGCATATGCACTGTTAGTCATTTTGAAATATAGATTCCCATTTGTGGCCTCCAGGGTAAAGTCGGCTAGAATGAGACCAATTAAGAGTCAACGTTTGATATGAGAATTAACGAGCAAACATCTTAAAAAGAAAATTTGGGGAACAGCAGAGCCTGCATCTCTAGTCCTGTGGATAATACAAATTTGTTTAAATTATGGCTCCCAAGGCTTCATGTAGTTACAGCATATTTTACTTTGAGATATACATGATTGATGGGGAAAAATATTTTAAAATATTCACACACACACACACACAAATAATAAACTATATTTTAATGTATTGATATGAAAATATCCTCATGAGGTGAATACACATGTAAATACATGTATTCAAGTTATTCCAAATATGATCCTTGGAGTTCACATGTGGTAACAGAAGGCATCAAAATTTACATACGGATTTAATCGAACTGAGAAATTTCTAATCAATATTTTCATGAAAGGAAATTGATATACTTCATTTCAGTATAGTGTAGATGCAATGTTGGTGTAGTTATAGTTGGTGTAGAGAAAGGTGTGTTCAGATAACCACAAAAGGGAATCAAAATTGACGAAGGAATAAAAAAAGAAAACTATTTAGAAATTCTTCTAGACAGAACAAAGGTGAAGGATGTGACCCGTTGACCTTCACTCTTTTTTATTTATTTTAGAATATATATGATTTATATTTCTTTTTGTTTTCTTATTTTTCAATGAAAGGAATGAAGAAAAATATAAAAATTAATTTTCTTGTAGCTAACCCTTAAATTCAAAAACATGCAAGGATTCATATCTTTACAAGTTACTGACTTGAAGTAAGTATACGCCCCACACACACACACACACACACACACACACACACACACACATATATATATATATATATATATATATATATATATATATATATATATATATATATATATATATATATATATATATATATATATATATATATATAATATTTGTGCCTATAGGTGTACATGTAAATGTATTAGTTTTCAATTCTTTTAAGTATACATTTTCAATTTAATTCTAATTATTGTATCCTTATAATTTCTAATGTTAAGAATTCCTTGAAAGTCGATAGCAACTGTATCTCTCGCAGTTCAAGAGGCAAAATATAAATAGTTTTTTTTATTTCTGAGAGGGGAAGTTGGTTGATTTTCTATTGTAACAATTCCTATCAAGTTTGAAAGTGTTAGTGGTAGTATATCCCATTTTCAGTTTTTTAATCTTCTCTCATCAAAAATGGCTAGTTATATAAAAAAATCTAAGATTCTAAAGTATCAAACACCAAGTTTTTGAACCCCGGAAATAAGCCATT